GCGGGGGGGATCGCGGCCGGGGACGCGGCGGTGCCCGGCCCGACCCGGCCCGGCCCGACCCTGTCCGGTATTACCTCAGGGGCGCCCGCCCTTTCCCCTCCCCACCCCCTTCCCCCGCGCCCCTTGCGGTGCCCGGTGCCTGCCTTGTGTCCCGGCTGAGGGGGAGAGCGGGGAGGGGGGCGGAGGCGGTAGGAGCGCGGCCGGGTGACGCCCCCGCCTCGCTAACACGGCGGCAGGGTTGCTAATGAGCTCTCCTTTTTTTTTTTTTTTTTTTTTTTCCCCCCCCCCCCCCCCCCCCTCCTTTTTTTTTTTTTTTTTTTTTTTTTTTTTTTATTTTTTAATTTGTTTATTTGTGTCGTCGCCGCTTTTTGAAGCCCTCGGCGGAACTCCGGCGGTGGCCAACGGCGAGGAGAAGGAGTTCGCTGGCCCCGGGGGAGATGCTGTAGCTGTTCCCCGCTGCTGGGGCTGCCCTGAGGGGACGGCGGTGGGCGCCAGCCCCGCGCTCCGAGGGGGGGAAAGGACGAGCGAGAGCCGGCCCTGACGGAGGCTGGCTGGTTTGTAGGTAAAGAGCGATCTTGGAAACTTTGTGGGGAGGCTTCGGGGTGCTAGCGGGTGGGGAACGGAGGAGGAGACGATGTCCTGGCCTGTGTTTTGCAGCTGGCATGTCTCTTAAGTCCAGCACATTTGAATTGTCCTTAACCTGGTTTGAGAAATGAAGTTGGGCACTAGGCAGAAAATACGGACTTGGAGGTTACCTTTAGTGGCTTGGCTTGGCTTGGCCAGGCAAGTTGTGATTTTACCAGCTGGTTGGTCAGAAGAGGGTCCTGTATCCTTGGAGTGAGGAGTGGGTCACTGAGAGCTCCCCCTGTATTTATTTTTGTGATTTGATGAGAGGAAAAAAAAACATGTTCTTGATTGTCCTTACAGGGGCTGTCCATTTTCCTGCTGGAAAGCAATTGAAAAAGATAGCATTTAGAAAGTAATGGAAAGGAGTGCTGGAAGGTATTGCCTTGTATTCATAGGAAGATTAGCACAGCCTCACTGACGTGAGTAGCTGTTCCTAAGCTCTCTGATGGATGAAGTATGAGTACAGGATTTGTCAGACAGGATTATCTGGAATAATGATGTTTGGCACTTTGGTGGCATTGGATGTCTTACTAGTACTGCACAAATAAAGGTGTTGCATAAGTTCTGTTGGGAAGGAAAGTTTTAATCAAGCTATACTTGTATTATAGACCACGCACAGACTTTCTTACTGGTGTTTAGCACTGATTACTGGGTTGAAACTCACAGGATCATTGCAGGTAGCAAAACTGATAAGCTATAAAAAGTGTTTCCTTTATAAATTCTGCATCACTGACTTAGTATTGAGGCTACCTGGTCTCATGCTGAAACTGACGGCAGTTGTGGTTCATGTGATGTGGTCACAAGTCTACTCAAAGCTAAACCAGTATCATAACCTTTGTTATTTGGCATGAGCTATCAAGCAACCATTGGCTCTTAGTGACTTTTAGTGGCAACATTTTGGATTTTTAAGTAACGCAACGTAGTGTTTCAGAAGGATGAGAGTGTGCGCAGACCTTATCAGAGGTTTGTAGAACTGTGGAGCCAGCACGCTCCCTTTCTTTTCCCATGTTTGGAAGGAACACTTGGCATAGTTCGGAAAAAAGTTCTTATCAATCTGCTGATGCCTTATATTGACTGTCATCCTCTACAGTCAGGTGGCATAGGGAGTTTTGGCTACTCATTACAAACCTGTACAGCCGGAAACCTTGTGGCTTTCTCACTTGCTTTTCCATAGTTCTTTAATGTCTTCATTTTCTACTCATACCCTTCAATCCTGTAGCCTTCTTAAAGGACATTATGATTTTTAAACCATGCAGGAAGGGTTGTATTTCAGTTGTGATTTTGTATCGTTGTGCTTTTAATATTGTATGTGTTGAGTGTTAAAGAAGATAATGTCCTACTGGAGAGTAGGATACATGGCCTAGGATATCCATCTTGTTCTAGAAAATAGACTGTAGTGCTCACTGTTGACTCGAAGCAGTCAAGGAGGGTAATGTAAATTTTCTTAGTATTTTCTTTAAAAGAAGCTCTTACTTCATCAAATAGCACTTTTTTTTTTCTTTTTGCTTTAGCTTACCTGCTGAGATTTGAGTTCTGAGATCTCTTTCTCTTACACGTAGAGTATTTGTTGCAAGTGGGGGGAAAAAAAGAACGCCACACTTACCTTGGAAAAGAAATTAAGTTGAATTTATATTTATTATAAGCACAAAAGTATTTTCTTACAGCATTTTTGAATTTTAACATTTTTAATTTAATCCGACTGCTTTTGCAAAATCTCCCTGAATCTTTAATTTGTTTGGGTCTCAGTTGAGTTGCCAAGCGAGTCAGTTTAATCAAACCACTACTTATTTTTATAGATATGTATCCTTTTTTTTGGGTAATTTTTAAACTGGCCTTATAAAGCATATAAAAGTAAAATCTCTGCCTTTTGCAAAGACATCTTGTGGGATGTGTGTGTGTGCACCTCAAAAAAGGGTAACTAACAGTTTGTTCACATAAAGACTTTTATGTTTGTGAGAATGCTCTTTATGAGTATTTTCCTTTATGACAGATAATTAAAATACCACAAGGCTTTCACTGTATTGGTCTTAGTTGAGTGCTTTTGAATGTTTCTAATATGGAGAAAAATATATCAGAATGATACAGCCATACACCAGTCATACACCCTAGTTAGCTAGATGTCAGTGTAGTCCTGCTGTAAAACTAGGTGGTGTATTAAAAGCCTCAGTCATTTAAAAAATCATTTTAGCCCAAGTGAAGGGCTTTTTTTTTTTCTGAAGAAGCATAAAGAAATACTAAAAAGCATTATATTAGATGATATCAATATAAAATTAGAATAGTACGCTTGGGGAAATTTTGTTGACTTTTTTTTTTATTTTTTTAAGAAGGAATGTCAGCAGCATTGTATTCATGAAGAGCCACTTGTTATCACCGATGCGCATGTGAAATGGAAGGTAGCAGATTCTGGAAAAAACCTTCTGTTTCAACCTTGCAAGATGCTTCATGAAGTGGTGAGTACATATGTGGACTGAGAGCTATCTTGGTATTGCTTTGAACAACTAGAGGATGAAAAACATTTGAGTAGAATTTGTGTAAAGAGTGACTAATGTATAGTTAACTGACAAGAAAAGAAGGCTGAGCAAGTAGTGCAAACTTACTTGCACTCTGGTGCAAGTAAATGGAAAGTAGTAGCACACTCAGGAGAGCAAAGTAACATTTCCTTATGTTCCAGTATCTATTGCTGTGTTAGGCTTCTACTCAAAAGTTGAGTGAAGGTGTTACCCAGTAGAATTCTGAATTCTTAATATTTTAGAAGCAGAGTGCTTAGCATTTTACGGGACCAGGTCTGTAAAATTAGACGTTGAACAACATTTAATGAAGTAGAATGCTGAATATTTGCTGAATGAAAAATTACTTATCTGTTAAGGTTAGGCTCTAAATTATCACTGTCCTTAAAATAAAACTAAAATCTCTCAGTCCTAATGAGTGTGATATTTGGCATGTTTTAAAAACATTAAATTGATATGAGCAGATTGTTGTGTGACCAGATTGCATGTGGCATTGAGATGTTGCCAAATCTGATTCCACTTCCTCATACCAGTTATCATAGTTTCTGCTTATGAAACAATATTTATTTATAAGTGCATTGCATGTGTCTCTTAAGTATCTAGGAAGTATAATTTCTGTGTCCAGTGAAGGACTTCTCCTGCACAGATTTAATACACGTTCTAAAATTTCATATACAATTCATTGATATTGTAATCCTGATTGAGGCTTGAGTTGTTACGTGACTGGTTTGTGTGGTTGTTTGCTGTCTTTTAAAATGCTGTAAGCATAAACTGTAGAATTTTTTTTTTTTTTTGACTTTGGAGGTTGAAAGATGAGGACTACCAAACAGGCGTAGTTTGTTCTGTGGTACAATATTAATCTAAATTTATTTTTTTTAAGTTCGTGTTGTGTCATGCCTGTGGAAACGCTAACAGTATGAGATTAGATTTGCAAGCATTTGGCAATATCCCTGTCTAGAAATGCTGATATACTATCATGTTGTTTTAAAAAATTTATAAACTAAGAGATTATTGACTTAATCTTTCCAAATAGTAAGAGAAACTTGTTCATAAGTTTGTCTGCCTTGGGGAACTCAGAGTACTTACCACCTACTGCATTTGTGAGATTCTTTGGCATTTGATTCCAGCAGGTAGCTGAAATAAATGTGAAAGTGAATTGGTCCAATATTTTTGTATTTCATATTTTTGTATCGCATTAGTCCAATTTCAGTTTGTTGATAAGTATGTAAAAGAAAACCAGAGCTGCTGTTCGATGTGCAAATTAACTGCTGGTTGAGTAACTTCTTACTCATCTCTGAGTGTATAATATCCTGGAGCTGCTAGCATTTATTGTTGTGAGTAGTTTAGAGTTTGATGTATTTTGCATGGAAAAACGATACCACAATCTTTCCTAATGTTATTTAGATTTAACAAAAACATGGATCACTTGAAACTATTCTACAGCCTATGATTAAGGTCTGGAGGCAGGACTTACTGTCTTGTGGTGTGTACCCATGCATCCAGCACAGTTAGGCTGGCTGAGTAAGTTCTATTATCTGCGTAGAGGCTTGTATTGCCATTCTTTTTTTTTTTTTTTTTTTACACAAATAAGAGTACAACATGCCTGTTTTGTTTTGTTTTAAATAAGTCTTTACTAAATTATTATTGCTGTAACAATTGACAGAAGAAAACACTGAATTTAAACCAAAATGTGAATGTTCAGATGGTAAGAACTTCTGTCTATTTGCAAAATAGAAAATTTGAAAGTGAAGACTTGAATTGCTTTTGACATTTCGTAGCCTTCTGTTAGTGTTTCTGCTCCAGCAAGAATGTTTATAAAGTACATGGAATTGGAGTCATGGTGGAGGGGCATAGTAAACAGAACTAAACCTTCTCACATCTTTATTCAACATGTGTGGAAAATGTTCCCTGGAGAAGGAAGGCTGAAAAATACAATGCAGAACCATTTGGATTTGGGGATGAGGAAGAAGGAGACGGTGGGTGTATCAAGAGACTGCTTTGGAGTCTCCTGGATTTATTAGCAGGCAGTGCTTGATGGCATTCTTTACAATAGGGCTGATGAGTGCACCATTACAACAGTCAAGGAGTTCACCCACTCTGATGTTAAAATAAAATTAATTGCCTGCAGGTCGTAGTGAGTATTGTTGGCTTGTTAGCAATTTTCAGGGGAAGATTACAAGAACTTTGCATTGCTAGCATTAAAATTGTGTTTCTAATGGAAGCTAGAACTAGATTCTCTATGAAGGTTAGGAGTGCTAAGAATAAATTTTAAAACTAGCCAGTGCAGGTATGCACAGAATATTGGACACTAAAGTTTACTCAGCAAAGTTTAAAATGCTTAAGTGTGGTTTTTCAAATTTTTTTTTTTCTTAGTCTGTAGGTAAACATTCAGTTTGGAGTAAGTGTGCTGCATTGTGAGGGGGTTTTGAGTGGTTTTTTTGTCAGTGTAAGATGCTGTAAGGATGCAGCTTCACTGTTAGAGAGCTCTATAAGCAGGAGAATGTTCTGTGGTGGTTGTTTCTGACCAGTTGATTGTTGGAAATTTTGCTCTGTGAGCATTGTTATGCTGTATATATGTAAAATTTAAAAATGGTCTAATGTGTTTATTCATATTCCACATAGTTGCCCACAGACAAGAGCGCATAAGAAATTCGAACTGATTTTTTTTATCTCTGGAATGAATTGTGTGTGTGTGTATATATATATATATGTATATAATGTGTTTGTTCTTATCCAGGAGACAAGAGTACTGTGTGTATTTGAGCAGGTCAGTCTGATTAGAAGCAAAGCAGGTAGCAGCTTTAGTATACATGTAACTAAGAGACAAGCAGCACAGGATACTGCTTCTGAAAAAAGCAGCAGCTGTAGGTTTTGTGTACTGTGCTTCCATAGAGATGTAACTGTACATAAATAGGCCAATATTTTCAAACAGCTGCCACATCTTCAACTTAAACGTATGGTTTGGGCAGCTGATTTTCAGCATACTGAGCTACCATAATTGTGACCAAATTTACAAGGAGTTGCATTTTCTCAAGAGTATAAACCCTGTGTAATAGTGGTTATCCTTTCAGAATGCAGCTAATGTAGAATATATCCTTTCAGAATATGTTCAGTTTGCAGCTATCATTCATTTTATTCTCTTCTATGTGATGTGTGTGTATATATAGAGAGAGATATATGAACGAACACGTAAGTATGAAAAAAAAAAAAATAAAATTAGGATTTTCCCTCTCTATGTTGTTCCTGGTAGCCCCGCAAGTAGGAGTTTTACAGCAAGAGGTGTGGTTGCACAGCATGACCTGATCTAATGCAGATAATGTAGAATATATCCTTTCAGAATATGTTTAATAGTGGTTATCCTTTCAGAATGCAGCTAATGTAGAATATATCCTTTCAGAATATGTTCAGTTTGCAGCTATCATTCATTTTATTCTCTTCTATGTGATGTGTGTGTATATATAGAGAGAGATATATGAACGAACACGTAAGTATGAAAAAAAAAAAAATAAAATTAGGATTTTCCCTCTCTATGTTGTTCCTGGTAGCCCCGCAAGTAGGAGTTTTACAGCAAGAGGTGTGGTTGCACAGCATGACCTGATCTGATCTAGCAACTGTTGCTAAAGATCAGCCAGGCTCCCTCTTCATGCTTCTTTTCCTTTGCTGCCATCCCTTGTGTTTCTAGCTTTCCTTTTTTGCTGCCCCTCGGTGAGACCGTTCAGCTCTCTCTAGCTATGTTTTTTCCCGTGTTAGGTTTCTACCACCTTAATTAGCTGAGTTATTTCACTGAGGCTGTGTCTAGGCTAGGGAATAAAATATGCCAGGGACTGTTCTCTGGGCTCAGCACGAAGTGGCAAGATGGCACACACCTAAGAGTCTTCCTCCTGAAACAGCACGATTGCACCCAAACTACCAGTGGAGAGCAGTCTGCTGCTCTGCGTGTGCAGGCACCGTTAAGGGGACAGCAGATTTGTCTGGGAGAGTGCCAAGTTGGTATGGGCCAAAATGGTGTCAGAGAGGATGCTAACAGCATGGCTCAAGCCTGTGCTCTGGCCCTGTTTTATTTTTATTTATTTACTATTCTAGATGTGGGCAGAGAGGTCAGACAAGTGTGAGAGCCAGCGCAGGCGGGATGGAGCTGCGTGGCTGGAAACGAAGAAGGGAGAGAGAAGGTGCAGGGCTGACAATGTCAGGGAGTTATGGAAGGGATATCCTTTTGATGTCACGGAGCTATTACATTACTTAAGCTGGCTTGTCTAACTGTACCCTTAACATAACTTTGTTTTGCAACCAACAACTTGACTTTGGTTCTGCAGAGGGCTGTGAGTTCTGTGTCCCTGTAAATGCTTTTTGAAAGTCTGATTCAGACAGCTAAAATGCATTACAAAGTGAATTAAAACTGGTATATGAAGGTACATATATGACTTTTTAGACGGGTTTTCTTATCCTGTCTGTTGCATTGGACCGTTGTTTTTCTTCCACCTTTCAGGTGCTTCCTTAGTTAAAAGAAATGGGGAGGAGAAGTGGGGATGGCAAGCAGGCAACAATGGTGATACTCTAGTTACTATAGGGCTGTTAACCTGGTAAGTAGACACCCTTCATGTCGTGCGAAGGATGAGCAGCGAGCTTAGATGTCAAAATGCAACCAATTATTTTTCCTGACATTTTTGGATCCTGCAGGAGTGTGAGGCTTGTGATCTCTCTACTGTAGCGAGTGACCTGATTTAGAACTGTGAAGTCATGTGTCCCAAGTATATCCTCTATCTGACGTGTCAGTAGCCTGGAAGTACAAGTGCTTGATGTCCGTTTGCCAAAAAATGTAGATTCATTGCATTCATACCTGTTGCCAAGATTCCTGGCAGCAATGCTAATTCAATGTAAATTTTGTGTTTGTGTGATAACATTGATCGCAAAGAAAGACTTTTTAAGCTAAGAATTTTTAAATT